CACCTGTCTTTAGACGTCGTTGAAATCCGTTTTCAATGTGCGTGGTTAATGCCAACACTTGATCACAACAACTTCTATGTGGCCGAAATCCAGCTTGCTGGGGTGGAAGAACCTTTTCAATTATTTGACAAATGCGTTGGTAGATCATTCGTTCCAATACTTTGTAGCAGACGCTTAAAAGTGAAATTGGACGGTAACTGGACGCTTCTGTTGGTGGTTTGCCCTTTTTCAAAACAGCAATTACTTTGGTTCTTTTGAAGGCGGGTGGCAATTTTGCTGATCGGAAAATATCATCATAAAACAAAATAAGCCATTTTAAAGCAAATTTTCCAAGGTGTTTGAGGAACTCCGGGTAGATGCCGTCGAACCCTGCTGCTTTTCTAGACTTTTTTGTTTTAAGAGCTGATTGTAATTCTTCTATTGTAAATGGTCTTGATAAATCTTCCGATATGTTACATCTTTTTCTTTGTTTTTGAATGCATTTCTTCATCTCCTTTTTCTCGATTCTGTCTATTTCCACCGAATTTGAAACACTTAATAGTCGAGACGCTATTTTGTTTGGATTGATTTCCGGTGTATTCTGAGTAGAAGGTAGTGTGGTAGTAGAAAGTTGTTTTAAAAGAGCCCAACCACTATGGCTTGAATGGGTAAAATTTAAATTTTCCATTAATGTATTCCATTTTTGTTTTCTACCTTCATTAAGAGATTTTAAAATTGTTTCAGCGTTTTCCAGGGTTGGATTTGTTATAAAGGAATTATAAGAGTTAGTTGTTTCAGCGGATCAACCAGGAATGTAATATGTTCTGAACCCTCTTGGAATATGTTTTTTGGCGGCATTTTTGATTACACCAACGAATCTGTCGTAGTTATTTGAGATTGCCGGAATCCATCTCAAATCACTATCTACTTATTTTGCAAAATCCGCCCATCTTGCTTTTTGGAAATTCCAACGTGGTTTTTCAAGAGTTTTTGTTGGTCTAATTTTTATTCCAACTTTAATAATGACCGGTCGATGTTGACTACGTGGAAAACCAGAGAGTACTTCCCGAGAAGTTGGTAAAGGAGTATCATTTTGGGTTGTTACAAAACATAGGTCAGGATTGTATTCTTTCTTCCACCTAGCTGAGTAGAAACTTTTTCGGTCTTTCGCATCAAACACCAAATGAAGATTGTTTACTTCCATCCAGGAAGCCAGTGCCAGACCACTTTCGTCATTATCAGCATAACCCCATAGATTATTGTGAGAGTTAAAGTCTCCAATATATACAGCAGGGTGGTTGTATGTCGCTGGTAGGTTCACAGGCCATTTTTCATTTGGTGGTTTGTAGATGTTAATTTTAAAATTTTCCCCAATTTTCAAACTCTTCCTTCTATCCATTAAGAAACCGAGAGGATCACGTCGATCTGGATCAGTTTGTCTAAGTGTCGGTAATTTTTGAACGGTTAAAACCGTTCATTACGGGCCGACAAAATCGGCTACCGACATCCGTCAATCAGTATCATTAAAAACCAGTGTCACTAATGAAAGAGTTTCTAAGTACTAAGTAACGAAAAAAATGCAAAATAAATCGTAAATCAACTTATTGGCGACTAATATCATTTCGTTGTTTTTAAACAAGCTAACATTACCATTGTAACTTCTAGTGATACATAATAGAGCGTTGTAAAAAAAGCCGCTTTAATTCTTCAATAAAATGACTTTTATATGACACAAAAATGACGATATGGCTATTCAAATACCCAAATTCCGTCTATGTGGAACGTTATCCTACCTCCATTAGATCATCAAAAAAATGTTTTTTCTAATTGTGTTGACTGATGAAACATTTGTTTTTCCTATTTTTAAAAATACGTAATAATTTTGTTCTGAGGCGCTCGCATATTTGTTCAGTACTTCTAACCTATCGTATTTTTTAAATTTTTATAGTTTTATCTATTTTTTTTTTTATCTATTTTACAGTTCACAAAACTCTTATTGATTATTATTTACACATTTGGAGTGAAAGAGTTTTTCCATGGCCAACTATTATCAAACAAAATATGTATTTCAGTTTTTAAGTATAGTTATAAAAAAATATTCTGTTACAATTATATATTTTTTAGATCAGAAAAAAATAGGCTTTTCAAAATTGCCATAGCCGCCTATGATTTCCATTTGAAAAAATACAAGTTTATCTTATTACGGCTAAACTAATAATTAAAAAAATTGTTAACTACATTATTAAATTCCTCGTAAAAAAGTGCCTGTATAATGTCTTTATTTCAAATCCGTATCTTCTATAATAACGAAGATATGAATTTTTTTAGATTTCGCCAAAATGTCAACTTTTGTCTGTAAGTCGAAAACAAAAGACGATAGCGGGATGCGGTTTTAACCAATATTATTTTCTCAAAAAATGAGCTCCAGAATGTATCAGTCGTTTTTGGCTAAACATCTTAGTTTCGGAGATTCCCTATTCGGACATCCAAAATGCAGCACCCTGTACAGTATGTCTCTGGATTGAGTTTACAAGAGGATTTTTTTTTATTTTACGCCAAAACTGCAAAGGAATTTTTTTTTGCTTTACCTGAAACGAGAAAATCTGTAATTAAAACTTTATTATTCTAACTCAGTAGAAAGAAAAGTTCATTTTTTTCTTGATTTCTTTTCAAGTCCTGTCACACTGGTGGTATTATTATTTTGTTAATAATGTCACTTTGACAAATTAATTTACGCAAGTTAAATAACAAAAATGTTTGTGAAAAACATAATTGTAATAAATAGTAACTCAAAGAAACAGCTTTAAGATAAAAACCAAAGTAATTTTTAACAAGAACTATCATTATTTAATTAATAAATTAATTGTCAAAGTGACATATAGTTGTCAAATATACTGGGTGAATATAAAGTATGGAACCAAGCGGTTTTATTTTTAATCATTTGCCTCCAGAAAATAATAATTATTATAAATTAAAGTAATATAAAAAATGTGATCGTATTTTCAGAACGAAATTTTGTTTTGTTTTTGAGTTATGCGATTTTTTTTTTGTCAAAATTGCAATTTATGTGAAAACATTTTTTTGAAAAAATTAAATATAATGCAGATAGTTGTAATCCTTTGAGTATAGCTTTTATGAGAAAAATGATTTTATAGTAAGTTGCCATTTAAAAAAATGATTTTTTTTGTAGAACTCAAAAACAATAGAAAATTTCGAAAAATGTTATTCTTGTTAAATCATCACATTTTTATAGTACTTTATTACTCATCAATTAGTTTTTTCAAAAAATAAATAGTGTTTGGTTCCATACTTTTTATTCACCTGGTATAATACCGCCAATGTTATTATAGGACTTGAAAAGCAGTCGAAAATCAAGAGAAAAATTAACTTTTTATTGAATCAGAATATCGAAGTTTTAAATACAGATTTGGTCGTTTCAGGTGAAACAAAAAATGTTTTTCCTTTGCTGTTTTGGCGTAAAATCAAAGTTAAAAAAAAATTTCTCTTGTATATTCAATCCGGGGACATACTGTATACCCGGGGCAGAACGGGATATATGTTTGAAAATGAACATTTTTAATTTTTTTGCGTACAAAATTCGCAAATCAACATGGACTCATCATCATCGCTGTCAAAACCAGCACACGACAAATGTGCCCATTTTTTGCACCTGACACAAGAGCACCAGCCCTCACTTGATTGAGAATATAGTTCCTTACAATAAAAACAAGGCGTTTTTTCTGAACTTTCCTCGGCTACTTATAATTCAACATTATAAGGAGATGATGTTAAAACTTTAGTTTTGCCCCTTTTTCTTGTAGATCTTTTTTGGCCTGATTGAACTTTAGGCAACTTTTGGAGAGATATATGTGAATGAAGAATAGGTTTTTCTGTACTTCTTGCGGGACTGTTAGTCTTCCAAGAACAACCAGGACTTGGTTCAGAACCAGAAGGGTTTTATTGATAGATTATTATTATTGATAGATCAACATAAAATTGTGACAAAAACATGTGAGGCAGAATCTCGTTCTGCCCCAGTATATACTACTGCTAAAAATGAATATGTAAATTATTCTAGTCAATATTGTCATCATAATATATTATAAACGTTGCAAAAAAAGTACATTACTAATCAAATTGATAATCATTATTATGGTAAAACTAAAAAAATAACATGTCTTACCTCGATCCAATATCTATAACTTTTACAATATTTGGAGAAATTCCACCATGCACGTTTGAATCGGTAGAAGGCGTAAAGTAAGACAAACGAACGACACTCTTAATTAAGCATGATAGCTGGCTGAACGTTGGGATATGATTCGCACCACCTGCCCACCCCTACGCACTTGATGTAAACTCTGTATAAGGTGGAGTAGGTCCCTTATTGAGATGCACTTTCGGACGTACTTCTATAGGAACTTCTATATTGACTTAGGAATCAACCCCAGAATTTTTAGCTTTGTTTCCGAACATTCTGCATAATTAAGTAGCATGAAAATACTCGTAAAGGTGAATGAAAGTTTGAACTATTGATAACATTATTCTCTTTTTTATACTAATACAAGTTTATTTATTGGTTAGGGTGAAAAAACATAAACATGTTTTGGTATCAAGAAAAATGAAACGTATTCTTGTGTTAGACATATTGTCCATTAATCTAGTAATAATTACAGTTCCAGTTTGTTTTGATTAAAGGAAATTCTCACGTGTCAACATATATTATCACAACATAACTACCTTTTTTACGATAAGGTTTAACTATTACGACGACAAAAATGAAGATTATTAGAAAGAAAAGTTTAGTAAAAAATGTACAAAACAGATTTTTTTACGCAATGAAACGACCGCTATTTGTGGCCCAAATTTTTGGCTATTTTCCACTTAACGGAACGTGTAACTTTGATCCAAGTTGTATAAAATTTAAATGGACTTCATTTAAAACTATATATTCGGTGTCAACTATGTTTCTGACTTTGTTTATAGCTGCTTGCCAGCTCCACCGGATGATCACAGTTGAAATGAATATTTTGCAAATGAGTAACAAAACTACAACTTTTTTCTAGTTTTAAGTTCTTTTTTGTAGATTGTTTCGTGTTTCTGTTGTGCTCGATTTTAATTAATATTTTATTTATTAAGCTTGCAAAAGAATGGCCACAATTTATGAAAGAATGGCTGAAAATTGAATGTTTGATGGGGTATTTTGGAACCAGGAAAACTTTGAAGAAAAACATGGATTTTATTTTCACATCTCTTACGTTATTTACAATAGGTTTTGATTCTTTTTAATTGTATATGTTTTGACTTTTTTGATTTTTTTTAGTGGAACATATGCTAATGGAATTGTACAGAGTTATAGATTCCGTTGAATGCAGCAAAACAGTAGGTGACGGTATTCGTCACTACTATGTAAATGTAACTTTTCCGCACCTTTTTACTAGTCTTGTCAATTACACCTTGTGGAAAGCTCTAATTTTCCATATTTCAAACTTCCAGACAACTTTTTGTTGGACTTTCGGTGACACATTTATAATTTTACTGAGTACAGCTTTTGCTACGCAAATGAAACAAAGTAGAACCAAAGTTAAAGTTTTAGTAAAGTCTCAAGTAAATAAAAAATAAGTTATTAAATTTTATAACGAAGATATTTTAGATTAAAGCAGCAACCCCATGGAGAAAAATAAGAGAAGAACATTGCGGTTTGCTTAATCTTTGTAGACTACTGGATCAGAAAATTTCTTATCTAGTCTTAGTATCCTTCTGCAGTAATTTATATTTTGTTTTGGTTCAATTATTTAACGCATTGAGACCAATGAGCGACATTTTACAAAAAGCATACTTTTTTATTTCCTTTGGGTTTCTAATTTTTAGGATTATTTATGTCAGTTTAAGTGCAGCGTCGATTAATGATGAGAGCCGAAAACTTTTAATAGAACTGTTACTTACTCCACCGGAATTATACAATGTTGAAGTAACTTACATTTTTTTTTTGGTGAGGGACTACAAAGATTTATTTATAGATTGAAAGATTAATTAATCAAATTACTTATAAAACGGCAGCTATTTCTGGGAAAAGTTTTTTTATAATTACAAGAGGACTAATATTGAAAGTGAGTAATTAGGTCTATTGTTATATAGTTATAATTTATAAGAAACTAAACAGATTGCAGGTGCAATTGTAACATACGAACTTGTATTAATACAATTTAATAAGAAACTTTTAAATGAGTTTAATAATGAAGCCTCAGAACAACAAGTAGAGATTCTACATAATGATACATATTGGTTGTGTTAACTTGCTTGTATTTTTGAATTGTTATTCAAAGTAAACTAAAAAAAAAGTAATTGTATTTTGAGGACGAGATTTTGTTTTGTTTATGAGTTATGCATTTTTTTGTAAAAATTGCAATTTATGTATTTTTTTTTTCATTAAATATAGAATAAACAGTTGTAAACCTTAACTCATAACCTTCATTAGAAGAATGGTTGTATAGTGGGTTGCCATTAAATTTTTTTTTTGTAGAACTCAAAAACAAAGAAAATTTCGAAAATTTTTATTCTTCATAAAACATCACATTTTTATAGTACTTTATCTTTATCTTTAAGAAACTGATTTATAATCAAACACTAATTCGAGGTGAATAGCTTTTTTAGACAGACATACTAACACCACTACATAAGCCTTTATAATTCTGTTGCCGCGACCACGAAATTTTGCCGGTAAAATCAACTCCGCAATGCAAAAATGGTCTAGAGGGTGTAACACCATCCCCTAGTAAATTTCCCATCAATTACTCAAATGGAATGGGATGAGAGCTCTAAAACACTTTATACAATTATGAATTATTTAACGGACAATTCTTCGTGCACTCAACGGCCAAAAACCCTGTCTAACGGTTGCTAAAGTTGCTTTAAAACATCTTTCATGAGCATCGCGGACAATTAATTTAGTTACTGGATGGCCTTTTGGGAAAACAAGAAAACAACCGGATGCTTATTTTGAAATCGCAATTGTGAATTTTGAAGTCGACCTCCAACTTTCAAAATTCCGTCCCTATCTAAAAAAACATTTAATCCTAAAAAATTACCCTCATGAGATTGAGAAATATCATCACTAAGGCTCGGATCATATGCACGAAAAATTTGTAAAATATGCGCATATGCGAGGGTTGATCAATAAATACCCGTGTGAGGGATGAAAACGTAATGAATTCTCTTAAAACTGGCTCACAACGGCATAGCACAGAACTATTTAAGAATTCAGAAATATAAGATATAATTTCTGAATATCTTAAGTTCTGGGGTACAGCTCTGGACGTGGGAGTTATGTATAAAGGGTTACAAGAGCCATAACCCATTCTTTGGACATGTATTTAAGTATAAAAACATTAAAAAGATTTAACATTTACAACTTGTATATAGTAATTAATAACTAATAAGACTATAATCTGATTTTAAAACATGACCGCTCCTAACGTAATATAGTTTCTAAAAGGATGATAAAATGAGTAGGTTTAAAATTATTTCATTAAAATTAAACATTTTTTTTAGACATTAAAATTAAGCATACATAAAAAATAATTTTAGAACTATATTTCCTGATAAATAGCAGAAACGGGATTTCGCTATATAATACTCATTATGTAAGATACTTACTTCAAAGATCTAGGTCTTACAAAGGGCTTATAAAAAAGAAGGTAAAGAATATATATTTAACTACGGCTTGCTGTTAACAACACCATTATTTGTTTAAGGCAATACATGTAAGGTGTTCTGTATCGAAAACGAGATAATTGCATCTTTGAATTTATGATTTATGATAATGTTAAGAAAACTTTGCATTATGGAATGTCCGTCAATTGAAGATTATTAGTCGGTTTTAATTTTAAAAATCTATGTAAGAATGTGACAAACTACAAGAAAATATAACGGAATTAACTAGAGAGAGCAAGTGAATGCAACTGTAGTTCTTCATGTTCTACTTTTACTCCATTGAAGAGAATATGATGTTGTATATGACATGATGAATGGAAAAGTATAAAATTTAAATAACTAATTATTTACACAGACAGCTACCGGCGATTTTAACCCCCAATAAAAATATCTCCGAACTTAGCCAGCTGGGCTGGTTTTCAGGGCCGTATTCACTTTATGCAAAGCTTCATGTATGAAAACTAAGCAATTCAATAGCTAATTTTAAATGCTAGGTTTTTTTTTTCTATACAGCTTTTAATAAAAAATTTTTTTATTGGTTGTAGCGTATTTTTTTTAGAAATGACAGTTTTCTCGACTTGACTAGGAGTCTACCCAGCTGATCTTCAACAGGCACCTGCTCTTCGAAGAGCTAAGAAGTGCTTTTTAGGTTATTAACCATTCTAAACAATGTTTGTTTGAAAATGCCCTAACTTTTTCGAATGTAGAAAGTTACAGTTGGATAGTTGAAAATCGTCATTTTTAAAAATTAGCTAAACAGCTCAACTTAAGACAATGAAAAAACGTACCTGTTTTCGAATGAACTCACACAACACACATGTACCGGTCATACAGAGTTCTGCTAAAGTGGTACTAAATTTGAAAAGACTGCACTCTTACTAACCCTGGCACTCTTACACCACCTTCCCCTATCTATTTATTGACGAGTAAGATGGTATCTTAATTAAATTATTGTGGCAAAAAGTGTATCTCTTTGGTGACGAATACCTCCAAATAGTCCACAACCTTACAGATATATCCGACCATCTTGGCTTCCTGCTGCCATAGTTATTTATAACATCGATAAGAAAAACCGCTTTTTCATCTAATTGCTCCGCGTCCCCTACAATTTTGTTTACAGCAGATAAAATCTTAGCATTTTTATTTTTCTCTTTATCCACTTTTTTAATTTTTTCATTTGCCCGTTCTAATTTTCTAGTTAAAATTTTAATTTGACGTTGCATATTTGTAACTTTTTTGCACGAAATTAAATTTACTTGGGAGGATTGTGATTTTTTTTGATTCATAGTGTAAAGGGAAACAATTTGGAGAAGCTTCTTGGTCAGTACCAACGAGATCAACAGGATTCTTAAAATTGCAAAAGTGTTAAGGAAGGATAATAGGAAACAGGACAATTATCTTACAGGTGAGATAATTGCTTAATTTATGAAAACGTCCTGTACTTGAGCTACAAATATATTTGTTCTCAAAATGTTCGCAACAAATTACCGTGTAATCTGAAATTAGTTCTGTATCTGAGACCATCAAAATAATGTCAGTATAAAAGATAAACATTTACTTAAAAGCGTTTGCGGAGATAGAATAAATAACTAACCATATTTTTTTTAAATTAATGTGAATTTGAAAGAATGGCCCATTTCGATTTCCACAAATGAAACACTTTTTTGCCCATTATAATTTTTAAGATGCAGCAAAAATGTCGATGAAAAATGAATCCCTTTAACTGTCAAGCATGTCAAGATGAGACCTAACCTCTAAATTTTATTTTGATTTTAATCTTCTGATGTCGCTAGTAGAGGAACGTCGCGTAAATTGCTTTCTAGGCCCACAAGATAAATGCCCACACGGAAAAAAGCTCACACCGAAAAATACTCACACGGAAAAAAACTCACGCAGAAATAAGCCCACATAGAAAAAAACACACTGTCAAAAAACCTCACATGGAAACAACCCCACATAGAAAATCGATCAGATGTCAATAAAAATGTTTTAGAATAAACTTGCTGTAATCCTATTCAAGAAAAGTGTAAAATCAAGAGTGTAGAGCTTATTTCGTATCTGGTGGCGAAATGACAGTGACAGAGAACAAACTTGGAATGCGCACACTTCGTTGCATGGGCGTGCATTTTTTTCACTAAAATTTTCTTACTTGTCATTTTGCAAGAGTTTGCAATCGGGCTATCGCAAATAAAGACCAATATTTAAGTAGGGAAAATCATTTAGATGTAATCGTTAATGAATTTATTATAACCCACGATAGCATCGATGAAATCGAATTTTGCTCTAGCTATTTTGAGGGCGAGGATTGTTAGAAATATCATTGTTAAAAATTATTATCATGCTTTAACAACTTAATAATTTGTTTATCATTTTTTATCATATCTATGAGTACCTACTTATTATATTTTTTTWAAAAATAATATTGGTTTTAAAATACATTTTATTACGACGCCTGTGGACAATACTTTTTTTAATAGTAAATATACTTTTAGTGTCAAAATTCAGTCATTTTTGACAAAGTCAGTTCGCCACCAGATTTGGAACAAGCTCTAACAAGTAACCACTTATGTAAAGGGTTTCCAAAGGACGTTACGTTTTAAAAACGTCTTGGCAACCAAAAACTATTATTAATGTACAAAAAATAAAGTACAAATGCCAAAGCTACGAGAGACATTAGCTTTCTTTTAATGTCTACATTGCTTTCAAATGTTGATTTCAGACGAACACTACAAATTTTTCTAATAAGGCTCTGAGTCAAATGAAAATAGCAACCTTTAAATTCGCCTTCTGGAAAGGCCTGTCTTACTGCTCTCATGCAAACCTTTTCAAAATCAACCGAAACCCTATGAGCTGCTAAATTTAGAATTAATTGCTGGTAGTATCTTTATTTAATTGAACCACAAGTTCTCTATCACCTAAAGCTAGAATTCTGTCTGAATCGTCTACGCCTGAATCATACAGAATGATTTCATTAAATTTATCAAGAATTTTAAAATTTATTGTTGTGGGATTAAGTAAAATGCTGTCTTTTCTGTGATAGAACATCGTCACTCATTTCGGATATAACGTTTCCCATCACAGCACGGGGTGTAGCACTAACAACTTTTATATCTTGATTCACCTGACTTCTTGCCACATTAGCGGTAGCTTTTTGAGGACACGAGTCGTGACAATGCTTCCTAGGAGGTTCAATGATTTTTCCAGATTTGGTTTTTATAAATGATTTACATTTTGTCGAACGTTGCAATCAGCATCTCCACGTAATCACCTCGTTATCATTCGACGAACGAAATTGTGCATACTCAAATCCTTGATATGTTAATACCTTGTTGTTTTTTTGACTGTTTGTGAACTCCATAGTCAGACACCTAGAATAAAAATACTTTTGAGTTAGTACATAGTTTTAAAA